TTTAAAATGGATTAAATTGCAATTTTTTGTCACTGACCTACACACAATACCCCATAATTTCAAAGTGGAACTATGTTTTTCAAATGTTTTGCTAAATAATAAAAAACGAGTATTCAATATATATTCAACCCCTTTGTTATGGCAATGCTGAATAAGGTCAGGAGTAAAAATGTGGATAACAAGTCTCATAATAAGTTGCACGGACTCACTCTGTGTGCAATAATAGTGTTTAACATGATTTTTGAATGACTACCTAATCTCTGTATCCCACACATACAATTATCTGTAAGGTCCCTCAGTCGAGTAGTGAATTTCAAACACAGATTCAACCACAAAGACCAGGGAGGTTTTCCAAAGCCTCGCAAAGAAGGGCACCTATTGGTAGATGGGTAAAAATAAAATAAAAAGCAAACATTGACTATCCCTTTGAACATGGTGAAGTTTTTATTACATTTACATTTTAGTCATTTAGCAGATGCTCTTATCCAGAGCGACTTACAGTTAGTGAGTGCATACATAATTTTTTTTCATACTGGCCCCCGTGGGAATCGAACCCACAACGCTGGTGTTGCAAACGCCATGCTCCACCAACTGAGCTACATCCCTGCTGGCCATTCCCTCCCCTACCCTGGACGATGCTGGGCCAATTGTGCGCCGCCCCATGGGTCTCCCGGTCGCGGCCGGCTACGACAGAGCCTGGATTACACTTTGGATGGTGTATCAGTATACCCAGTCACTGCAAAATTACAGGTTTCTTTCCTAACTCAGTTGCTGAAGAGGAAGGAAACCGCTCCGGGATTTCACCATGAGGCCAATGGTGACTTTAAAACAGTTACAGAGTTTAAAGGCTGTGATAGAAAACTGAGAATGGATCAACAACATTGTAGTTATTCCACAATACTAACCTAATTGACAGAATGAAAAGAAAGAAGACTGTACAGAATAAAAAATATTCCAAAACATGTATCCTGTTTGCAACAAGGCACTAAAGTAATACTACAAAAAACGTGGCAAAGCAATTAACTGTTTGTCCTGAATACAAAGTGTTAAGTTTGGGGCCAATCCAATACAACACATTACTGAGCACCACGCTCCATATTTTCAAGCATATTGATGAGTGCATCATGTTATGGGTATGCTTGTAATCGTTGAGGATTGGGGAGTTTTTTAGGATAAAAAATTAACAGATTGGAGCTAAACACAGGCAAAATCCTAGAGAAAAACCTGGTTCAGTCTGCCTTCCACCAGACATTGGGAGATGAATTCACCTTTCAGCAGGACAATTACCTAAAACACAAGGCCAAATCTACACTGGAGTTGCTTACCAAGAAGACAGTGAATGTTACAGTTTTGACTTAAATCTACTTGAAAATCTATGGCAAGACCTGAAAATGGTTGTCTAGCAATGATCAACAACCAATTTGATAGAGGTTGAAAAATTTGAAACAAATAATGGCCAAATGTTGCACAATCCAGGTGTGGAAAGCTCTTAGAGACTTAGCCAGAAAGACTCACAGCTGTAATCGCTGCCAAAGGTGCTTCTTCATAGTACTAACTTAGGGGTGTGAATACTTATTTAAATGAGATATTTCTGTATTTCATTTTCAGTACATTTGCTAAAATTTCTAAACATGTTTTCACTTTGTCATTATGGGGTATTGTGTGTAGATGGTTGAGAAAAAATATATTTAATCCATTTTGAATTCAGGCTGTAACACAACAAAATGTGGAATAAGTGAAGGGGTATGAATACATTCTGAAGGCAAACATCTCAACTGTCTTCCATTTAAACCCACAATATGCTTTCAATATGAAAAGGAGTGTATTGGTGCATTGAGATCCACGCTTTCTGGTCTAGGGTCCTGTGTGTGTATGCAGAGAGCACGGTGGTCCAGCCAGCTAGTGCAATAACCACTCTCCTTAGATCTGAAACAGCCGTCTCTTGTTCCCTTTCACCTTGGTTGTGTGTCCTCCCTGTCCCGCCGCCTTTCAGATTCATCTCCAGGTAAACACACTGTGGCAGGCCGCAAACCTGCAGCCAACAGCCGTTGTCACAGCTGTACAGGATAAAGGCCCGACCCAAGTCTCCCTCAATCTGGTATGTTTGCTGTCACTATAGGCAAATGGCAGCAAACATTTTGTGGTTTCGTCTCACACTGAAAAGACTCTTTATTAATTTTGCTTTGATGAATCACAAGATTAACCTCTTGCCCTTGTGTTCCTTGAAAAGTTGTTCTGGGGGTCTAGGGTAACTGACAGAACAACTAATTAAGGGGATTTGAACACCCTATGCCACAGTGGAAAACATTGTAATGAAACTGGCACATTCCTAGATTCCTGCTCTCTGGATATTTATCTGCATGTTAGAGTTTGTATTGTTATTTTCTCTTCTTCTTTGTCTTCTGTCATTCTTTGGTCAATATGATGTGTTGCAATCTTTGAGAATGCAACACATCCACAGTCACACCTGCGTGCTCCCTTTTCTAAAGTATTACATTTTGTTCACTCACCAAACACATAATTCACCCAATCAAATAGATTTCAAGGAATGCATTTAGGTATAGGCTAATTGTAATACTATTTGCTAATGCTACTCTACTTCTAAAGTAATTCTTGATTTGAAGGCCATTGTGGTGCCTTTATTGACCCCCTTTGTGATTTATCAGCCTTAGTGCATTTGACAAGAGCAATAGGCCGACAATTAGGCCACTAGATAGTACTGTATCAGTGCTTGTGAGAAGACCCTGGTTGACCTAATAGAGCAGCTGTCAACAGAACCCCATATGAGAGAGAGTGTGAGGTCAAACAAGGTGGTCTGAGATGAATATTTACCTGTTAACAATCTATGTGGTAGCACCAACTCATTATCACAAATTGTCATTGACCATAGGCTAAACAGTACCCTTAATAGAATGGCACCTAATGACTTCATAACACACTCATAAGCTATACATATGTATAACAGCATTAATAATTCGTTGACATAAGCATTATAAATGTTGGTATGCTTCTCATAAATGTGTTATGTAGGCTATGGCTTAAAATACATTCTAACAATTTTGCACTTTTTCGTGACATTATTATCATAATTATTATGAATAGTAGATTATGGAAGTTATCACAATTAAATATCATAAGTAACATTCTTCTAACACCATTATTTAAAGATTGCATCGTGATGTAGGCTGGCCTGTGCGCGTGTACTATAGTGTGTATTAGGCAAATGCATTACCAGTTAAACTGCTCCATTAATATCACCTCATTATTATCGTTGTTTTCCGTAGCCAGGTTTATCAGCAATTGCTGTTGATATCCATTCCAGCTCTAGTGATCAAACACGTTAGATAAACTTTGCTTCCGAAACCGGCATATCAAACATAGGGCAGCAAGGCTGCAAGGCCTTCACAAAAGTCAATAAAATGATGGTCAGACACATGAGTGTAGACACAGTGCTTTGTTTGAATAACCTCTATTCTCCAAACAGCCACTAACGAAATCAGGGGAAATTAAAATAGGCCTAGTTCAAGTAAAAATATTTGTTTGATATTGTCTGAAATGGAGGTTCTGTTGACAGTAAGTGCCTTTGAACAGGGTATGGTAGTAGGTGCCAGGCGCACTGACTATACAAAACATTAGGAACACCTGCTCTTTCCATGACAAAGACTTGCCAGGTGAGTCCAGGTGAAAGCTATGATCCCTTATTGATGTCACCTGTTAAATCCATTTCAATCACTGTTGATGAAGGGGAGCAGACAGGTTAAATAAGGATTTTTAAGCCTTGAGACAATTGAGACATGGATTGTGTATGTGTGCCATTCAGAGGGTGAATGGGCAAGACAAAATATTTAAGTGCTTTTGAACGGAGTATAGTAGTAGGTGCCAGGCACACCGGCTTGAGTGTGTCAAGAACTGCAACGCTGCTGGTTTTTTCACGCTCAACGGTTTCCCATGTGTATCAAGAATGGTCCACCACCCAATGGACATCCAGCCAACTTGACACAACTGTGGGAAGCATTGGAGTCAACATGGGCCAGCATACCTGTGGAACGCTTTCGACACATTGTGGTCCATACCCCGACGAAATGAGGCTGTTCTGAGGGCAAAAGGGGTTGCAACTCAATATTAGGATGGTGTTCCTAATATTTAGTACAATCAGTGTAGTTCAGAGCTCACATTACAGATGGATCAATCATTTGTTGCCCACTGAAGTATTTTGTATTACACAATGGACATATAATAAAATAAATATGATAGAATTATATTAGTTGCGTTAACACTTAGAATTCAAGAGACAATTATGCACAATATTAGGCCTATAAGTTAATAATAACGATCCAAAATCTTACAACGTCCCTCGAGTTCAGTTGACCCTGAAAATGTGTTTGCAATGTTTCGAAATTCGAAATGCTGCACACAACGTTCTACGAAGTTGTGCTTTTCTGTCATCACCGTTGTAGACCAGACTACCCTTATCGCCCCCTCACTCCAGAATTAAATCGATGCATGGACCCCTGGACTTATTGCTCAAATAAAAACATTCCCATGTTGCATTCCTAAATCATGATTCAATATGGCCTAAATAAGTATTAAAAGTGGTGTTTTATAGTCACCCATGTCTCAATATCAATATGCCTATTTATTATATCGACGCACGTTGTGGTTTTGTGGAAAAATCTGGTTAGGAAATTCCTTGTTTATTTTGACCCAATTTTTGATTGCATGCTGAAACTGTAAAATGTGATTCGAATGCAAATTAAGTGAGGTAAAGACCACACTCCTTGAGAGAAATAAGAATACTCGGTCAGAAGATGCCAAATCACATTCCTATAAACCCTCTTAGAATTCAAAAATCCTTGTCTTTTTTTCTGATGGAAAACAATCACATTTTACATATTGGATCCTTTCAAATGGGTTTGCCCTTTTCAGACAGCGCAGGTGTACAATAGAGGGCCAACCGAGCAGTCTCGTGCCTAGGTGTGAGCAGATTATTCAAATAGGGCATTGAATGAGTGAGGATTGGAGGCTCGAGCGCCTAGCACGACACAGTGCTGCTTATACCACAGCAAGACGAGGAGCTAACGTCATTACAACTCTTGTCATCGTCAGTCGCTTTACAGCATCTGAAGGCACTCCGGGCAGAAAGAAACCCATGAACCGGTCACCAGGCAGCACGCAGACTAAACGACCTGGGTTGCCTGTGGTCCCCTATCGGTTTTAGGGCCGTTTTTTCACTTAATATTCTGTTGGGACTGAGAGGCTGTTGAAGGAAATTTGTTTTGGACCGTCCACAATGCTAAGCGCTGTTAAAATGGAAGGACACGAGCATTCAGACTGGAATGCTTACTACGGAGAGCCCGAGGTGGGTAGAGTTTAAATATATATGCATGTTGCTGTCTATACAACTCAATATTAGCCTTGAGATAATATTAACTTTGTGATCAAATATTGACTCGAGGCACCATAGAAATCCTACCAGGATCTATTCGCTCTTCTGACCAATTTCTAGTGAGGATGGAAAGAACATTTACGAAATATATAACTTGAGTCTTTATTGTTTAGAAAATCTAATTGAATCTGAAATGTATTTCATATTATTTAATCGTAGCCTATAATTTCTCTTTTGACTATGTATCGAATTAGGCTATTACGGAACCTACAATGATCCCTTCGCCTCATTAGGCTACACTCCTTGACTAATTGTCCCCCTTTTCAATCGCTTTCGTTTTGTGTTTTGATAAGACTTGGAATAAAATAGTTTTAGAATATTCTTTAGGATGTAGGTCTATATGCACGTCTTCCCTATTTGAACTTAATTGTTTGAAGTTACAAATTAAGATTGGATATTTGGCCGACTGAAAAATATATTTTGATCTAAGTGACAACAAATTTCTGTAGGCATAATTATTTCGATGTGATTTTAATAGGTCTACTTCATTCACATTGTTAAATATATTATTGACGTTGTGCACTCTTTTTTTGACAGTGCTATACCTCAGTTGGGAACATGACACAACACACCGGTCTAGGAATGAACTCGATGAGCACCTATATGAGCATGCCTGGAATGACTTCAACCAGCAACATGTCAGGCAGCCCCATGAACATGTCATACGTCAACACGGGTGTGAACCACTCCATGGCCGGGATGTCACCGGGCTCCGGGGCCATGCACGGTATGGGAGCAGGGATGGCGGGCATGAGCGCGGCGCTGAACCCGAACATGAGCCCCATAAACACCCAGTCTCCATCGATGAATGCCCTGTCGTCCTATAGTAATATGAGCGTTATGAGCCCCATGTATGGACAGTCCAACATAAGGTCAAGGGACCCCAAAACATACCGGAGAAGCTATACGCACGCCAAGCCCCCATATTCCTACATTTCTCTCATCACCATGGCTTTACAGCAGTCAACCACAAAGATGCTGACGTTGAATGAGCTATACCAGTGGATCCAGGACCTTTTCCCCTTCTACAGACAGAACCAGCAGCGCTGGCAAAACTCTATCCGCCACTCTCTATCCTTCAACGACTGCTTCCTCAAAGTGCCCAGGTCCCCGGATAAGCCGGGCAAAGGATCTTTCTGGACTCTTCACCCGGACTCAGGGAATATGTTTGAGAACGGCTGCTATCTCCGGAGGCAAAAGCGGTTCAGGTGCGAGAAAGACCTCGGCAGGGAGACCGGGAAGAAGGCTTCCGAGGGCGGCTCTAACAGCAGCCCAGAGAGCTGTAACGGTAACGAATCACCCCATCCTACCCCGTCCGTTAAAGACGTCAAACGGCCATTATCTGACCCGAAACCCCGGCAGCAGGTAATGAGCCCCGCCGAGCACGCGCCGTCTCCTATCCCACAGACGCACCATCTCCTGTCTCAGCATCACTCGGTGCTCGTGCACGAAGCGCACCTGAAGCCCGAGCACCACTATTCATTCAATCACCCCTTCTCCATCAACAATCTAATGTCGTCGGAGCAGCAGCATCACCACAAAATGGACCTAAAAACGTATGAACAGATGATGCAGTACGGCTATGGTTCACCGATGACAGGGGCACTGTCCATGGGCTCAATGTCGACTAAAACGGGCATAGATGTTGCTTCGACACCCACAGACACTTCTTACTACCAAGGTGTGTATTCGAGGCCAATCATGAACTCTTCTTGAATTTGAATCTGCATTCAATTAACTTTTTCTAGCAATTACAATTTGTACATTTGTAAATTGATTGTTTTTTTGTTTTTATGCATCACATTTTATGGACATTGGACATGGAAGGGACTGATTCAGTGTCAAGTTCGTTCAGAGTATGTTGATATGTGACGACATTATTTCAAACAGACACTTTTACATTAATTGAAGGCGTAACTGTGGGATTCACAGGCACAGCGGAAATGTATGTTACAAATTGTGAGACGTGCTTTGTGCCAATATCGTGTGTATCCCTTATAACTTAGGCTATAATTTTTTCATGTGTATTCATGTAGCAAGCGAAAATCTATATTAAAGTATTATTTGATATGACCTTTCTGTGTGCATTATTATATGGCAACTGCATAAGATTAAGGCTAATTATGCAAAATGTTAAAAATATCGAACATCTTTCTGTAAGAAAGACTAGCAGTTAGGTCAATTATATAACAATGAAAGATAAGCAGCATCAATGAATAAAGTAAGATGTATGTATTTATAGGACTACTTATAGGCCTACATACTATCCATACTATTCAATAAGACAATATATCCATCTGCACATTTAGAATAAAGGTTGCAATTTTCGCCAAGAAACTAAACGAAGACCACCACACTCAAAAAATGTATTAGGATAATATTGCTTTATTCATTTTATTAAACCTAACATAACCACATTATTATTGTTATTATTTATAAAACGGGTTCGGTTAGTCTATTATTAACTTGACATTTTATACAAAGGGGCGTTTTCCTCTGCACAATCTGACAATTCCGGAATGATTTCCCGTTGGTCATATGTCACACCCAACCAATCCTTCCTGAACACCACGGAGCACCAAATAATTTTCAAATGAAGCATGACATTTAAAAATATATATTTATTGTCACAAATACCAGATAGGTGCAGTGAAATGTGTTGTTTTACAGGGTCAGCCATAGTAGTACAGCGCCCCTGGAGCAAATTAGGGTTAAGTGCCTTGCTCAAAGGCACATCGACATACTTTTCACCTTGGGTATTCGAACCAGCGACCTTTGGGTATGGCCCAACACTAGGCTACCTGACGCCCTACATTTGTTTCATTATCACTTTTATCATCTGCAAAAACAAGAACAATTCACAATGAAAGTGACGGTTATTACCCTGATGTTAGTCCCACATGCAGCCCTGTCATGGGGTTACTCTTAAACCACTTAACGTGTGACTCACCACTGATCCTAACTGATAAGATGAACCCATGTCATAGCCCCTTCTGAATACATCATCAACTTCGCGATGGGATGGTAGCCCATGCTGCTTTCACCGAGGAAACGTAAACATAAGCCATGTTCACATGAAGAAACTACAGGCTATTAAACTTAAAAACATGTTTTTACTCAAATTAAAACCATTTCAAAATGTACCGTGTTTTTTAAAATCCCGTACCCCTTATAGACCAAAGCCCTATGTGCAAATGGTCTATAATCTCTAGAAGGTGACGTCTGAAGGCCTATCCAAACTGTCCATATTTTGCCACCTGTCCTGTCACACTTTATGGCAACAGTATCCCCTCATATGACCGACTCATAATCATGAATTATCGGGGCACAATACATGGGATAATCATCTGCAAACAAAACATACATGTACAATAAACACCTGAAGGTCACATTGCAATCTTTACTAAATATTAGGCTATAGGCCTATTAGTCTTGGTAAGCCTCCTGTAGCTCAGTTGGTAGAGCATGGCGCTTGCAACGCCAGGATTGTGGGTTCGATTCCCACGGGGGGCCAGTATGAAAAATGTATGCACTAACTGTAAGTCGCTCTGGATAAGAGCGTCTGTAAAATGTAGGTACATTTTAATTGTCTCTCTTGCTGATAAAAAAATCGATATTATCAGTGTAAAACAATATTATTTTTAAAAAAACTAGCAAGATAGTGATATATTTTCTTTGTGGCTCAGTAAACAGTGACAGAGTTCGCGTTGAAATAAATGCTGTGATGACTTCAGTCCTCGGAAGCAGTTTGCTGGAGTCTTCCAGGATCTCGTCGCTTTTCAATGTCCAGCGGCCACAAACCTATCCAGAGGTAGGCATGCAAAAACACATTTATTTCTCTTGATCCTTGTCATGCATGGGGTCTTTTTGTAGATTGTTCTTGATGTTTTTGTTTTCATGAAATTTTGATTAGTTGAGATTCATTACATTTCGATTCACTAGATGGTATTTTTAAATTAATATTCGTTTTTCTTCGAATAGAAATGAATACCGTTGGCCTATGTGAAATGTGAACATTGTGTATTCCTATGCTATGTTTATATAGGCATAATAATATTGATAAAGCATAAGGATAATAATAATATTAGTAATAATGCTTTATTATTATTATTATTGTTATTATTATTATTATTATTATTATTATGTGTTATAAATTGCATTATTTGTATAGGCAAATGTTTGTTTACAGCGGTGTAAAAATAGCCAATGCAGGGCTATATTTTGAAGGTGACCCCTCTACTATCTTGGCACGATTTTTCTGTCTGATTTCATCTTCAGCAGGAGATGGGATCGGTGCCTTAATAATAGTCTTTAAATAATTGATTCACTCCGATTCCACTGATAATGCAGGTATTGGATTAGTCTATTACTAGACATTAAATGAGTGTATGCTCAGAATATCCCACTCTGTGATATAGGGCTTCGGCCGTTTTGAAAATGGCCAGAAGTGGAACATAACTAGATTAAATAGGATGAATAGGCAATATAATAGCCTATTTAGCATCTTGCTCAACGAACAAAAATCATGCTTTTAGTAGGCTATTGTAAAACAATATATTTTTAGGAGTATACAATTTATTTTTATATGTAATCTTAGCCCCATTATACTAGAACAAGTTAGCTTCTCAATGTACCAGGAGCCATATACTTAGCTTTATATATTCAAATATATGGCTCTGATTGTATACAGTATGACACCCATTGATTCCATTGAGGGCACTAGTACCCAACTCGTGCCCTCCAGATGAGCCGTTTTGGCTGGACCTGGAACACCCAAGAAGAGTGGTCTCCAAGGTGATTTGTGATATGAGTTTTCAAGCTGTAATACTGCTTTAGCTTATTGGAGGGTTGGGGCTGTTCACTCCACTCTGGTTTTAGGCTTAAATATCCTTTCAACTGAGATATAGTCCTAATCTCATATTTTAGACTGGGAGAGAGGCCCGCCCCATAGTATGTTGGAACAGGTTGAAACAAAATATGCTCATATATCAGACTGTAGTATATCTGACCCTCTATAAATGCAAATAATGTAGTGTTATTGAATACCAATAAATGTACTACCCTCTGTGTCCTAATTTTGAAACTAACATTACCTGGGGAGTACAAATAAAAAAATGGTAGTTCTATTTTGTTTGTATTCTGTATAAACAAGAGGAGTTGTAGATGGAGGGCTCAGGTTTTGGACATCCTCCCTCCATTAGTGTGTGTGAAACCTAACCTGATTCATATCAGACTGCAAGGGGTGCACAGTGTTCCATCCACATGATAACAATCTTTTAGAGCAATTGGGCCTTTTCTCATTATTGCCAGGGCCGCCTCTAGCCTTTTGGGGGCCCTAAGGGAGATTTGGTTGGGGGGCCCCTCACCTCGTGGCAAAACATTTTAGTGGCCCCGCTGTTGACGGGAGAAAACGTAGCAATTAAAAAAAAAAAATCATGCAATTCTACTCATTTTGCCTAGGGGTAGAGAGACATTTTTTAAGCTAATTTCCTGCAATTCTACCCATTTTGCGATGCGGTGTAGAGAACAATTTACAAGTTTAGATAGCTGGCTAGACCAACTACCAATCTAAAAACTGTTAGCTGACATGGCTAATTGAGTGACTGTCAGTGACTGACATAACAAGAGAAAAACTGCTGATGCATAACCACATTTAGAAATAGCATCTAGTGTATTCTACCATTCATTTGGTCGGGGGCCCCCTAGCGACCGGAGACCCTAACCGACCGCTTATGTCACTTATGCCTGGAACCGGCCCTGATTATTGCATTTCCCTCTCTCAGACATCACTGAAAAGGGCCAACCTCTGAAAGGAGAAGTTGGATAGGGGAAGGTGCTGGTGAAGGCGAAGGGCGAGAATGTGAGAGGAGACTCCACTTGCCTGGGTTGATATTTTCTGGCGGCCTGGTGCGAAATTCCTGCCGTGGGGGAGCCTTTCATAGGCGGTCGCCACAGTGGCGTTGACACTTGGGGATGGAGGGAAGGAGCTCTGTGTCAACACTGTCCCATTGACTGGGCTGAGAGGCCTGCCTGCAGTCTGAACCAGCCCTGACCCCCTCACAGGCTCCCCTTCACGTCCTCCTCACGGCTCTCACACTGAGTAAACAGTCAATCAATCTATCAATAAATCCATCCATCTACCCATCATGAGAGGAGGGTGATCTCTGGTCTGCACTGCAATCCAAGCTGCTGACTGAGAGTGCTCCTGTCTAGAGGCCCATGTGCAATGAAAACCTGGGAGTTGTGCAAAGTGTGGGAAAACAAATTCCAGCTGGTAGTGTTACACGTTGGTTATTAATGAAGCCGCAGGTCATTGCAGTGTAGTGACAGTATAATACAAAATATATTTATGATATTTGAAAGTGCAATAATCAACTGTAAGGATGTGAAACACTCAAACATTTCAAAAGCTACTATACAACAATTTCACTGTATTTCACACCCTATAATTTTTTTTGTTTCATTAATTGCACTCATTATCAAGGCATGTATCCACACAAATACCCCATCTAGGTTATGGTGGGTGCTTTAAGTCAGGCATCATTTTCAAAGCCATGGGATGTGTATTGTGCTGTATGGCAGAGTGAAAGGCCACCAGCTCCCCGCAGACAACTCCCCTGATGCCCACAGTTTTCCAGAGGTTGTCAATTAAAGGGGTTCTGGGATCCATTTTAATTATCTGCCAGATTAAAGGAATGACCCATTGTAATGCCAATGCCCCATAGCACCCAAATCCAGATTTATCTGATGTGATTGGAGCTTGTTTTATCATTAGCAACAGAAAGACCCCCAGAGAAGGTATTGAGGTTGTAACAAGGCTGTCATCAGTGGGAGATTTAGCATGGAAATTCTCCATGTAAAGAGCTATAGTGTTCCTCACTGCAGACAGGATCAGTTTCCCACTTTATGGATGTTCCCACTGGGAAGCCTGCTGAGTGGCGTGAGAGAGACTGTTTCAATACACAAAATAATGACCTGGGCTGGATCTACATTGTAGATTGAAATGCTGAGGAGAACAGAGAGGAGATGTTATGTGGGGTCTGCTAAATTTAACCCCAATATCTGAGGCTAAATGTGACGAAG